CCGGGCTCCTGATCCAGTTTGGAGCCGCCGGCCCGGGCTTCCCTTCGGGCGCTTTGTGAGCGGGCCCCATCCGGGAGCTCCATCGCGGCTCCGGGGGTCGTTCCGTGACAGCCGCTCCCCCCCGCTTCCCCCGGCCGGGTTCGGAGCCGGGACCCGCGGCCCCGGGCTCGTTTTCCCCTTTTCCCCCCCTCCCACCGCGCAGGGCTGAGCTGGCTTTGGAGCCGCGTCCCCGCCTCAGGGACGGGCTCGCTTCGGAGCCACGTCCCAACCCCAGCAGCCGCGTCCCCGGCTTTGGGACGGGAGTCCCGGGGGCGGGTGGGATCCGCGGCGGAGGACCGAGCGGGAGCTGGGGAAGTTTCCCTGCGGAAGAGCCTCGCCGGGAGCCCYGGCCCGGGCCTGCGTCACCCACGGCGGGGCCGCTCGGCCGCTTTTGTCCCCCGGCCAGGCCTGGGCTGGCGGGACGAGCCCAGCCATTGCTGGGGCCGGCGAGCTCGGGGCCGGTTCTGCCCTCRCCCCACTGCCGGGGCTCCGATCCCGGGCTCTGCTCCCCGAACCGGGGCGAAAGCGGGGCGGGGGGATGTCCGGCTGAGCTCATGGAGGCCGCGGCAAAACGATCCGGTGCCAGCGAGGCAGCGCGGCCCCCGCCCTGCCCCGGCCGTGGTTAAACTTTGATGGGGCACAAGCGGTGGCTGAAATAAGAGTTTATTTACCGGATTGCCATGAAACGTTCGGCTGGGGCCGGCCGGGCTGTTTTGCAACCGCTGCCGACTCAGGTGGTTTGAAACCTGATCGTGCGCTCATGTGGCCTTATCTGGGTCTAAGGGAATCGCCTCAGAACCTGCTCTGAGAGGCCTCGCGCGGGCGTGGGGCTGGGGGAAGTGGATTTGGTTTATTTTCTCCCTAATTTTGGCTTCCCAGCGGGCCAAACCCCCGGGACTGGGGCACCCGCTCCAGTCGGGCAGCTTTGAAAAGTCTTGGGCTGGAGAAAGTGGGGTCTCGCAGGGAGAGGCAGATTCTTCAGAACCAAAGAGATCACAGTTAGTCCCCAGTGCCCCTTTAGGATCCCTGGTTGTGTCCAGGTTCCGCTTTTGTCCCCAGTGCTACCTGGGGGTCACCCTGCAGTTCTCACTTGTCCTTCATGGAAGCCCCTGCAAGGAGCAGGGCTAGGAGGAGGCAGGGGCAGAGTGGGACCCTCGTGGCCCCAGGAGTTCCTGGATCCARATGGGATCAGGCCACTTCAGCCCTGAAAATCAGCAACAGGAGCAGCCAAACCACTGTGGATTGCCCCAACACTTCGGGGGCGATTTGAGGGGAGGTTGGAGTCCAGCCTGGATGGGCCAGGGCGGTTGGCAGAGCCCCTCAAGTCGCAGGCTCTCACTCACCCAGCCCCTCTCCCCCCCAGCCGAGGCCCAAGCGCTGCCGCAGCCTGAGCCAACCCCACGCTGCCCACCATGGACACCGGAGTCATCGAAGGTGGTCTCAATGTCACACTCACCATCCGGCTACTCATGCACGGAAAGGTTCGTGTCCCCCAGYCCTCTGTGCTGGACCCTGCCTGCCACGGCGTGGGCTGGCTGTGGGATCGCCTGAAGCTGCTGTGGGGTCGGGAATGTGCTCCTGGTGCCCCGGGTGGATCCTGGAGTGCAGCCAGCAAAAAAAAAAAAAAAATTATGGGATGGAGGGGGACGACCTGATGGGAGCTGTAGTGGGGGCAGGATTAACACAACCGGGATAAATCCCAGTTATCTGAGGAGCAGATCTCACATGCTCAGGAGCTTGTTTTGACTGTGAAATGAGCCGAGTTTAGGCATGGGGCTCCAGAAGTTCTTAAAACGCTGACTAATGGTGCTTTTGTTTCCATCCCAGGAGGTGGGAAGCATCATTGGGAAGGTAAGTGAGGAACAAACTCCCMAACCCTGCCTTCCCCTTCTCCCCTCGTTCCCCCTCCCTCCTGCAGCCCCGCTGACGCCTCTCTCCCTTCTCTCCTTCCACAGAAAGGGGAGTCCGTGAAGAAGATGCGTGAGGAGGTGAGTGTTGGGGGGCTGCGGGGGGATTTGTGGACCTGCCGCGGGCTCCGCAGGCAGCGCGGCGGCGGCGGCCGGAGCGGTGGCGCGGGGAATGCCGGGAGCTGTGGGCAGGCGCGGCAGGAAGCCGAGGAGGAGAAGATGGCTGCCCGAGCCGAGGGAGGGGAGGAGGAGGAGAAGGAGGAGGAGGGAGGGCTCTGTCCCCAGCGGCGGCGGGGGATCTGGAGGAATCCTGAGGAACTCRGGCAGCCGGAGCACTGAGGTGGCGTTTGCCTCCCCGCAGAGCGGAGCTCGCATCAACATCTCGGAAGGGAACTGCCCYGAGCGGATCATCACCCTCGCGGGACCCACCAACGCCATCTTCAAAGCTTTTGCGATGATCATTGACAAACTGGAAGAGGTGTGTCCACAGCCCCCTGCAGTCCCTGTGCCGGTTTAATCCTTTCCTCTGGATGAGCTGACCCTGGGATGAGCCCCGGGGGCCCGCGCTGTTGTTCTGCACGGGCAGCCAGCATTTCCCTGCCTGGCCCCCGATCTTTGCCCGGYGCTGAGCTGGGGCAAGGTCCAGGCAGTGCCAGAGCCAGAGCTCTGCAGGGACTTCCCACCTGCAGCTTGGGACAGAGCAGGGCTTGGAATCCCCCTGGCTCTGCTTGTCCTGGTGCCACCTCCCCAGGCTCTGCGCTCACCCCTACCCTGCCGAGGAGGGAGCTGGGCAATGCAGCCATGTTGGGCTGCAGGAGCTGCATAGTGTCCTTGGTGCTGTTAAATCAGGGACTTTTGGGGGGATTTTGTTGCCAGATAACCCGGTTCCTGGCTGCAGGTGTTAGAGCCTCCTCAGGGCCGTGATGTCAAGGCAATTTCCATCTTGCTCCGCATGGGAGGGAGCAGGAGTTGGGAGCACTCCTCACCTGCTGTGGGGCAGAGCTCAGTGGTCCCCCCCTCACTTCTGGGGGTACAAATGCCGTTACCCTTTGGATCTGGCACACCACCCTGGGACAAACAGCCCTGTGCTGGCAGCTCTATCCCCAATCCCCCTGCTCTCACTGCAGCCTTAAAGGCTGCAGAGCTCAGAGCTGTTTGTGCCGTATGCTGAGAGCTGGAGTCCTCCAAGGGCTGCACAGCTCTGCAGTGCTCCGAGCACCGGCCTTGGAGCTGAAGCTTTGCTTTTAGTAGGTCAGTTGAGCCCTGGCCTTGTGCCTCCCCTCCCCCTGCCAGCACATGACCGCTGTAATCGGCGCCGGGATTGTTTTTCCYGGAGCTGCTGCCTTGATCCCTGGTGCAGGGGGAGGCTCCGTGCTGACCCTGGAGCTGTGGAGTCCCCGAGCCCCCTGCAGTCCCTTGTCCCCCTCCAGCGCTGGTTTGGCTGAGGTGTGACCCAGCCCTGGGGCAGCGCTTCAACCCATTTCCATTGAGGCAGCTGAGTTCCACTGCAGCTTTCCCAAAATACGCCTGTGTTTTTTCTGGGCTGCCGAGGAAGTCCTGGGAAGTCGGGACYGGGAAAGCCCCGAGGTCACCTTGTCCTGGACCGCTGGTGCCAGCGTCACCTCCCTGTCCCTGTGCCCGGCACGTCCCCAGCACGTGCCATTCCGRCAGGGCCAAACCCTCAACACCTCCTCTTCCTCACAGGACATCAGCAGCTCCATGACCAACAGCACAGCTGCTAGCCGGCCCCCGGTCACTCTGCGGCTYGTGGTCCCGGCCAGCCAGTGCGGGTCCCTCATTGGCAAAGGAGGCTGCAAGATCAAGGAGATCCGAGAGGTGCGTGGTGGCCAGCTCAGGGGGTGTCCGTGGGGAGTTCAGATGTCCCCAGGGGCAAGTCCCTGCCTCAGGGATGTGGCATCTCAGGGTTTTTTGGAGCTCTGTATTTTTAGTGCTTGACAAACTGAGACTCGGGGCAGACRGTTCTCTGCCAGTGCTGTCCCTCTCAGCTGGATGAGGGACAGCCTGGGTTTTTGCTCCCCCCTTCCCATGGCTCCAGGTGGCTCCTCCCCAGCTTTTTCCCAGATTTTAGAGTGGGTGWTGTGCTGCCAGGCCAGCACTGCCCTCGGTCACGTCATTTAGCCCTGAGTGTGGTTGGATTAACTCTGCTCGGCTCTGCTGGCGTGGGGACAGGCTTGGCTTGGGTTACAGGGACAGGCTGAGCCCAGGTCCCCCTCTGCTGCCTCAGGCTCCTGGTGACCAAATAGTGTCCAGCTGGGATTAAAGGACTTTATTTTGGGGGAAAGGAGGAGCGCAGGGGGTGCCCGTTTTGGCTATGTATAACCACCCACGGGGTTCATCGCTGAGCTCTCAGCCCTGCCYGGGGTCTGACAGGCTATTTTTACCCCTCGGCTTGGCAGAGCACGGGGGCACAGGTCCAGGTGGCAGGGGACATGCTGCCCAACTCGACTGAGCGAGCCATCACCATCGCTGGGATCCCACAGTCCATCATCGAGTGCGTCAAACAGATCTGCGTCGTCATGCTTGAGGTAGGGCCCCTCCCCGKGCCTGTCCCCCTGGGAAGGCCAGTGCTGCAGGGGATCCCACTGCTCTTGGAGGGCTGGAAATGCTGAGGGGGGGAGAAGAAAATCAGCTGCTGGGGGATAAAGGGATAGTGGGGATTACAGCCTCATCCAGGTGAGGCTCGGAGCTGCTTAAAACCGAGGTCGAGCGGGGCCTCAAGAGCCGCTCAAGGTATCACCCATGGCCCCGCTGTGCTCCTGGGGTGTCCTCCCCTGGCCCTGTGCCCAAGATGGGGAGCAAATAACTCTGCTCTGGTCCTCCAGAGGGCCAGTTGGAAATGCAGGGCAGAGCCCTGGGGTGTGGGCTGCGGGGAGGGGCTGTCAGTGCCAGCAGCACTCGATGTCTGACCTGCCCTCTCTGCCTGTCACCCAGTCTCCCCCGAAGGGTGTCACCATCCCGTACCGACCCAAGCCATCCAGCTCTCCCGTCATCTTTGCAGGCGGCCAGGTAAGGCCTCTCCTCTGCTCCTGGGGTGTGGGGTGGGCTGGGGAGGGAGGGGTTTGGGGGGGTCATACCGAGCTGCCAGCGTGCCCCAGCCGCTCCGCGTGCCCGTCACCCACGCTGTGCTCTCAGGCCTGAGCAGCTCTGCTGGGCCTTGGCCTCCCAGAGCTAGTCCCAGCTGTCCCTGCTGGGGAATGGCAGCCGATTTGGGAAGAGAGGAGGCCGATTTGGGAGGAGAGGGTGCTGGAAAACACTCCTGGAATTAACCAGCCAGGAAAAAAAAAAAAAGAAAAAAAAAATTGCCAGTTTGGTGGCAGCAGCAGGGGTTTGAATCAGGCTGAGCTGCCAACCCCRGGCTCTGCCCCTCTGCCTTGGGCTGGCTCCAGGGACTCGCTGTGATCTCCTGTGGGTGACTGGCCCGGAGGTTGGGGGTTCTCTGCTCTCTGCGACTGGTTCTTGGGGTGCAAAGGCTCAGCCTGTGCTGTGGGTAGGGCTGGGGTGCGCAAAGGCTTCATCTCGCACGAGGGGAGGGTGKCAGATAGGAGTAGCATCAGCTGACCGGGCTTTAGGCCCTCCTGCGCTGARCAAGGGAGGGGCCGAGCTCTGCCCTGAGCCACCTTAAAGGGGCCAGGTCTCCTTTGGGGTCCTGCCCGCCRTAAAGCCCGGAGCCCCCTGGGGCCCGGGTGGGGTCAGCTGCTCCCACCTTGCGGCCCCCGGGGCTGCCCCAGCGCTTGGAGAAACCACGGCAACAACACATACGCTGCCTTCCTGCTGCCAGGGAGCCCCTTGGTGTGGGCAGGGCCTGGCTTTGTCAGTGGGGCCTGGGCAGGCAGGGCAGGGGTCAGCGCAGGGGTCAGGGAAGGGCTGTAGCTGCCGCCGGCCTCCCCGAGAGCCAGGCCTGACTCTGCTCTCCCCCATCCCAACCCCGCCACGCCACGCTTGTTTTTGGGGACGGACCTGCTGCCGTCCCCTCCTCCTCCTCCCCACCCCTGCCCCTCCCTGCCTCTTCCTCCCCACCTGAACCCGGTCAGCCCCCCCCTYCCGCCTCTCCGACAGCTTCTCCCGCCGCTCTGCACCCCGGGGGAAGCGCCCGGCCTGGCCGGCGCGGAGCCCCTGYGCCCCTGGCCGGTGGCGGGGCCGCAGCGTGCGGAGCCCGGGGGYGGGAGCCGGCCGCCTTCCCCGTTAGAGCAGTGAGGAGCAGGCTTCCCACAGCCACGCATCTCTTCCCTCCCCTTGCCCTTGTTCTCCCCCTTCCTTCTTTCCGCCCCTGTCCCTGGCCCAGGCCCGCAGCAGCCGCCCGGGGCCCGCTCCCGGCGGGCCTCGCGCTCTCTGTCTTCGCAGCTCAGAGTCGTGCGTAGAGCAGGGCGAGTCCTCGATCAGCACTGAGCTAATGTGGATGTTGAGTTTGGTGTTAGCGAAAGGTTTCGGATTGACAGCCCTGGAGACTGAAGTCCTCTAATTTATCCACAGGACAGGTACAGCAGCGGCAGTGCGAGCTACCCCCACACCGCCCCATCCATGTGCCTCAACTCTGACTTGGAGGGACCACCTCAGGAGGTGAGAGGGGAGTTCAGTCTCCATGGCCCGTTCAATCCTTGGCCTCTCTGAGACTGCCAACAAGGGTGGCATCCCCGTCCCCGTCCCCCAAAACCGACAACGGTGGCTTTTTGTGCTGTGGACTCCTGTCCACTGGGAACTGGACTCTGAGCCCACCAACCTCTCCTCACGCAGGCCACCCGGCAGCCACTGCATGGCAACGAACTTGGGCCAATTCCAGCCTGGGCTGCAGTTCTTCCGGTGACCTGGAAGTGAGGCTGTGTACCCCCCTCTCCCCTTCCTCTCCCACCCGCCCCCACCTGCCCGGCCCCCCCAGACCTCCCCAAACCTTAGCCAGCCAGGCCCCAGCCMGTGACTCACCCTTTCTGGGTAGCTTCAGGAGGAATCTGAAGTCTGTGGCTGTCCCCTGTAACCTCGGGGACACGGAGTTGTGGCAGGTCAGGCCCTCGCCTCGTTGCCCTCCGAGCACTGGGCCGTGTCGAGCAGTGGTAGCCAGCGCCAGCCCTGACCTGTAGCTTGCCCGGCGACGTTGTCCTAGGCGTGCGGAGTGACGAGAGGACTCGGAACGGGGCAAACTTTTTTTTGGGGGGGCGGGAGGGGAGGCGGGGGAGCTGCTGGGCCGGGGCAGAGAGGGGCCAGGAGCAGCAGCAGGGCCGGCGGGGGCGTTGGATCCTCCCTGCCTGCGTGGGGGCGCAGGGATAGCAGCATTGTTGGACTCACCACACCATAACATCTTCATCAAGATCCCAGCCGTTCTCTTGTTGTGTTTTTTTTCTTTTTTTTTTCTCTTGTTGTGTTTTTTTTCTTTTTTTTTT